ATATATATATATATATATATCTGTGTGTGTGTGTGTGTTGTATTTTTAAGCGCGAGTTGACTTAAATTTTGGGTGAGTATATTTTCGCTCAAGTAGAGTTAACTTGCATTGATTTGAGTAGATTCAATTTTCTTATGATTAGATTTTAAATTAATTTGGATTTGGTGATATTGTATATCACTTTGGGTTTAATCTTCCTAGCTTATATACTGCTATGTTAGGTTTATAAACATAAATGCATTTATATATGTGTTTATGATTGTATGTGCGCCCATGCGATCACACACAGATATATATATATATATATATGAATCATACTATGAATCATACTCGTTCAAAACTAGTTACAAACCCTTAAAAGATAAACTAACACATTTTTTTTTCTATGAAGAAATTAAGCCCAAATAAAAGCTATAAATAAATTGATGAATGTAACGAAGAGAGTAGTTTATTACAATCCCAAGAAAAAAATATTTAGATCTCAACATCCATTAATATAAAACAACTTCAAACAAAAGCTTATGTTATAATTGACATGTAGGTGTTTGCATCATCATTTAAATGTAACTTGGCTTTGCTTTTAACCATCATCAATCTCATCCTTTCAATGTAGCAAGAAAATTCAATCACTCATGCCATAGTTGAATCTCTAAAAATACTAACCACTTCCTCAATAGCCTTGTAAGATGACCCATCTTTCTCCACAGCCCTCATCCCTTCTTTCTTCATCTCTTGCATTTTTTGTCGCACCTCCTTCCCTTCTGCGCCGACCATTAACTCCTTCACCGCCTTTGCTACCTCCTCCCTCCTTACCAACCCATTCACTCCTACATTCACCCTCAGTGCCACTTTCACCCCTTCCACGAGCAAAACTGCATTCATCCTCTGCTCTGAGTAAAGTGGCCATGCAACCATTGGCACACCATTCACCAAACTCTCTAGCACGGAGTTCCACCCACAATGCGACACAAACCCACCTATTGCGTAGTGACTCAACACCTCTTGTTGTGGCGCCCATGACAATGCTATCATCCCTCTCTCTTTTGTCCTTTCCAAGAATCCATCTGGAAGAAACATTAAAGAATCATTGTCGTCCTGTTTCGGATTAAAAAAAGAACCGCTGGCCTCTGTATCATTTGGTACCCTCACCACCCAGAGGAACTTTTGCCCACTCATCTCCAATCCTAGGGCAAGTTCTTTAGTCTGCTCCAATGACAAAGTACCACCACTGCCAAAACAAACGAACACGACCGACCCACTCGACTGCAGGTTCAACCATTCTATACATTTATGCGATGGCCGTTCAGAATCAATATCCAAATTAGATTGTGAAAGCGGTCCGATGCACCAAATTGACGCTTTCCCATCGCCTCTCTGTTACACAAAGCAATAACAATTAGTTTAGTTCAAGATAAATAATTGCGAAACTTATATACATGCCACAAACCATTATTAATCTAACATCTATTTGTATTAATAACCTTTAAAAAAAATGCATGAAGATATGTTCCTTGAAAAGTCATCATTAATGATACCTTGATATGATATAAAAATGTAAGCTTTATGAAAGTTTACATAAAAATTAAAGCAATTTACATATAGATTCAATAGAATTGTGTGGTATCAATATCATCATAAAAACGTCTAATTAATTACATAAATACCGAAAATGATTTCACCTTCCGCAGAAACTTAGCGGCGCCGGCTTCCAAAGCTTCGAAACTGTTAACCAAAATTCCATCCGGGAGATGGCAGTGTCTTGCAAGGTGAATCACCCAATCCCACACCTCGCTCCCCCTCTCCTGCAAAGGCTCCAAAAAATCCTCGCTTTTCAGCGGAACACAGCCCGGCAGCCTCAGCGGCTCCGGCAGGTCGCGGAACTCGCCGGCGGTGGTCTCCGCTAGAGTCGGCAGGTGGAGCATGAAGGAAAGGAAGAAGAGATTGGAGGTTATAAACATATAGGCTGGGATGCCCAGCTCTTTAACCATGGAAAGGAAGTCGCTTCCGAAGAGATCGAAGATAACGGCGGCGAGGCGGGTGGTTCGTTTAAGAGAGATGAGGATTTCGCGGAGCAGGGGAACGGAGTGGGCCATGGTGAGGCATATGCGGGTGACGATGTGGGTGTTGGGAGGGAGGTTGTGGAGTGGAAGGAGGGGGAGTTGGACGGTGGAGATGGAGGGAGGGAGAGAACAGGGGGGGAGGTCGGAGAAGGTGACGATGGTGGCGGTGAAGCGTTGGTGGAGGACGAGAAGCTTCTTCGTCAGCTCGGCGAGAGGGGTGATGTGGCCTATGCCGGGGCTTGACACGACGACTATATGGGGAGCTGAGTTGGTTTCCGCCATGGAACTGCTTTCAGAGCTTCTTGGATCTGTTTAGTGGAGGAAAGCTGATGAAGGTCTGGAATGCCGGTTCGGACGATTTCTGGTGGTATTTATTGGAGGAAATTTGTGGAAAAAAATGGCCTCTTTTCTTTTCTTTGTTTTGTGTTTGGGAGGAAAAGGTATCAGGTATGTATTCAGGTTATCAATCAGGAGAAAATATTAGGTCAGAATTTTATCCTATAAGAGAGCGACGTATGTAAAGTGAATCAATCACAGTGTATTGTGATGAGTTCATTTTTGGTAGACCCTCTTTATTGAACTTCGGATGATCCAAAGTGTTGACCTAATATATTCTCGTCAATCAGCGATCGTCTCGTCTGTCGATGAAGTTTATGATCACGTGACGTCTAGTGATTGACTATTCGAATGTGCAGCTCCCGGACGAGATATCTTCTCTGTAGAAAACGAGTCAATTCCATTTTTTTTCTATTAGGAAAAAAAAGCTTCTAATTATTTATAGCAATGTCATTGAGATTAGAGACGGATAAAGAAATGTGTATGGGGACGAATTTGATGATATTGTAGTTAAATACAATCACAATACGAACAATCAACACATATAAATTTTGCACGAAAAATTGACTTCATAAAGACATAGCGTAATTTAAAAAAAGTTGTAGTAATGATACATAAAGAAGGATACTCATCCATATACCTTAAAAGATTTGATGAGTTATATAGTTCATGTGCTAACAAGTTGATAAGTTCAACTATGACATGTCATGACTAAAATTATAGAATATGACAAAAAAATTGTAAGACACGTCATAAAATTATTGGAGATGATATAAAATTGCCAAGTATAACTTAAAATTATGTATTTTTATATAATTTTTATTTCAGGACAAAATTATAATAATTAGAATATGTTTTGAACGGACTCTCTTAATTAAGAAAAAAATATTACATCAGGACTTCACATGTAGAGTTATGTGCTAAGTTCAATAAAATTATGTCACGTGAAGATGACAAAAAACAAAATCAGCACGATAACACTGGGGATCCTTTTAAAATCTGTAAGTAACTCTACGTGCATAATCCTGATACGATATTCTACTTAATGAGTCAGTCAGAAGACTTTCGGCTAACTTGGTCGCATAACGCGGACCTCAGAATATTTACTACCGGCTAATAAATTATTGTCATGCTAAATTTTCAACGCTACAGCCGGCGTGTTTTTTTCTAATAAAATAAATATGGTTGCTGGATTAAATATCATAAAGGAGAGGTCAGTAATGCAGGTCACCAAACTCCCAATAAAAACTCCTATAGTTGTACGGAAGGTCGGTTGGAAATTTTATTTGCATAATTTGAATTTTAGAAATAATTACGTGCATATCACCTAAAATATTATTAATACGTGCTAGAAAATATATGATGGTTGAGTAACAATTTTAGTTTTCAGCATGGTACGAAGATTCGACACATACATAAAAAATGGAAAATAACTTATTATAATACTAGAAGTTTTTATGTGGAAAACACAGAAAGGAAAAAAACCTTTGAGATTTTGACCAAAGTGGTCAACGAGGGTGTTGGACTTCAGCTCGTTCTCAAAACTTTAAGCTTTGTATTATATCTCAAACTCTCATACTTGTCATGAGAGGGGGGCTCTATTTATAATGTCATTGGGTGCAATTAATGCATGATTATAGACCGCTTTGATTAGATAGTTCAGAGAGTTTTCTTCGATCAAACGAAGTTTAATGGACATTTGAGTGTCATAATGATGTTAGAATTGAGTAATCTTTGGCTCGTTGGATTTGTCTCACCAAAACACTCGATTTAACTATGAGCTTACCATATTTGATATTTGTTCAATTTTCCAAATATGCTCGAAAAATATTAAATAGTGTTTTAATGACTTGATCTTAGTTTGATTTCACTTGATTAGACAAATTTTGGTATCATTCAGTCCGTATCATTGAGTCAACCAACCTAATTGTAAATTTACTGAAATCGGAGCTCTAAATGATTTTTAATTAAAATTTGAATATTCTTTCCTCAATTTGTCTCGAGATCTGTGTCAAATTTCTAGGAAGGAGCAATGGGACTTTTATACTTGATAAAAATTAGACCCAAATATATTGATCAAATTTTAGTTATTTTATGTTTTAAAATGAAATATATATAATATATAAAGAGTAAATAAAAAGTTATATTATATTCATCACAAAATAGATTCAATGCTATTGAAAAAATTAATAACAAAAATTTATAATTAAAATTTTCTGAGTTTTTCTCTTTTCTTTTTTTTAAATTATTTTACAGTAAATAAATAAACAAATTAATTAAATAATTAAGTTGAAATATATATATTTACATACCTACCACTCAAATTTTTGACATTTTGTATAATAGTACAATTATTAGTTTAAAAAAGTGAAATACACATTTAATGCATAAGCTCCAACTTGCAACACCAGTGCTTTTTATTGTTTATTTTTTATTTTTTTTATTTTTTTATTTTTTTATTTATTTATTTTGTATTAGTTACAAAATTATATACAAAATTTTAGGAATTAGTTATATAAATACATAAAAATTGTGTGGCGTCAATATAAATTTTCCATTGTTTTATTACATTAGCTACAGTGCTAAAGCTGCCTGTTCACATTTCTCCTCGGAAGTCCATGGAACGTGTTATATAATGCTGTTGACATTTGCTTCAAGTTACAGGGTCTCTTTGGGACAGCTGTATGTAGGGGTGTAAACGAATCGAACACGAACGAATAAAGTTTGTGTTTGTGTTCGGTTTGTTTAAAATTTAGTTTGTTTGAAATAAGCTCGTGTTCGTTTCTTAACGAATGAGCCGAACACAAACCGAACACTAGCTGTTCGCGAACGACGAGCCAATTTGACATCCCTAATATTAATATATAAAAATAATATTATATATTAATAATATAACTTATATTATATAAATATACAATATCTATATTAGTATATTACTACTATAGTATATTAATATATTATTATTATTATTTTATTATATATTATAATTTATAAAATTTAATGTTTTAAAATATAATAAATTTTTTATATATAATTATTTTATATTATTTTATATTTCAAACAATAACGATTCGAACACGAACGAACGCATCACTGTTCGTGTTTGGTTCGTTTAACTAACCGAACGAAAAAAATTTGTTCGCGTTTGTCTCGTTTACTTATCGAACGAATTGAACACGAACTTATTGACAAACCGAACACGAACTGTTCGCGAACAACGCGCTTTTTTGACAGCCCTAGCTGTATGATAGAGGTGCAAAATCGCATCTTAGTTTTCTCCATTTTGAAGAAATTATATTTAATCATTTTTTCAAAAAATTACCGTTGAAATCAGCATTTTCTCACCTGCCATCGCTCGGTGCGGTGATTTTTTGCAACATCAGATTATTCTTCAGTAGCTTCTTCATAAGTCGCAGTTTCCCTAAACATACAATCAATGTTATAACATTTGAAATTTATTTTTATGCAATTTTTAAGGAAGATTTACATGCATACCCCTCAAATCTTAAGAGTTTAAATATCTAAAACCTAAACTTTAATTTATACAACCATGCTGCTTTATTCATGCGTTAAAACATGTATGTCCTTTTTTAAAGGTTAAAATAGATATATTTTTATGTGAAATGAAAGATTTAATTGGTATAAATGTAAAGAAAAAATTTAGATGTTAGGTATGCAATTAGGGCTGTAAACGAGCCGAGCTTGAGCGAGCCTAGGCCCGGCTCGTGTTCGGCTCGCTCGAATCTGGCTCGTGTTCGAAATCGGCTCGTGTTCGAAATGGCTCGTGAACAGTGTGTTCGTATTCGGCTCGAATTACGTTTTCATGTTCGTGTTCGGCTCGTGTTCGACTCGAAAATGGCTCGTTAGAATATAAAATTATTTAATAAATATTATTTTTTTTAAAAAAATAATAATTTTGTATAAAAATATTTGAAGGACAAATTTCATACAGAAATTCAGAAATTTATTAACTTAAAAAATAATGAATTCAAAAAACTTCACAAAATTAATTACCCTAAAAATTTATTAGAAATTTTAAAATGTACAAACTAAACAAGAGTAAAAAAAAATACAAATAAAATCATAAAATAAAAATCTAAATCTAAAAATAATTGTATTGAACATTTAAGTCTTCTTATGCTTTACATACAACTCAATCTCAAATAACTAAAACTAATTTCTGCGCATTATAACTTCATGAAAATGTTAGTCCGACACGAGCTCTTGAACTGGTGCTGCTGAAGCATCTCAAATACTTCTCCAACTTTGATGACGAGCTCTTGAGGAACCTGGTGGCCCTTAGAAGTTAGAAGCATCTCCTTAGAAGCATGTCAAAGCACCATAAGGCATCGGCATTATCCTCGTACAACACAACAAAAGGACAGAGCAAATCGCACATACCTAATGGTAAAACCACATTAAAAAACACAAAGAAAAATATTAGTTTATCACAAAACAGTTTATGTCAAAAACTTCATAGAACAAACATAGAAAAGGAGAGGCAATTGGACATAAGGGGAATTCCTTGACAGTATCCTGTGGCCGGATCAATCCAGGCATAAACAGCAAGAATATCTGACATTCTAGCCATATTTTTTGAATTTCCATAGAATTCAAGTTGACTATCTGTTCTAACTACGTCAACAACTGAAAAATATAGACTTTCAGATTGTATAAACATTGAGGAAACAAGAACAATTTCATGCCAGCATTATAGTTATCAAATTGACAGGTAGGAAGTAGCTTATTACCAATCCGATGGAGCATCCACAAGCACTCAGACATTTTTTCATCATGAAAAACTGATCTAATTGATGTGGTTCAAATCTGCAGCTATTAATAGACCATGCCGAACTACATCACTGTGTAGCAGAAAATTCTGATCAGTTTTCTGAAAGCTGTAAGCGCTGCATCCTCGGGAGCCATCTTAATTTGGTTGTATCCCGACGATCCGTCCATGAAGGAGAAAAATTCATGTGTAGAAGCGATGTCCACCATCATTTCTGGTATAGGTAGTAGAAACTTGTCTTTTGTACTTGCCTTATTCAAATCTCTGAAGTCGACACAAATGCGGAGACCGTCCATTTTTCTTTTAACATGTACAATATTGGCTAACCACGTGGGGTACCGCTCCTCTTTAATAAAGTTGGCGTCTATCAACTTCTTCACCTCGGTGATGACTTGTTGTTCTATTTCAAGGCGCATTCTCCTGGGATCTTGTTTTACTGGGGTTACATTCTTGTCCACCCCAAGTTTATGAACTGCAACCTCTGCTGACAGCCTTAACAATTCATCATAGCTCCATGCGAAGCAATCTTTGAATTCTATTAATAGTTTGACCAGTTATGCAGATTCTTTGTCACCAAGTAGAGAACTTATAAATGTAGG